TCCCAAAACTATGTGGCGTTTTCAGCTGTTCTCCAGGGACACTATTCATGGTTAGAGGGTTCACATTAACATTGCTCTACCAGAGGGTAGAGCCACTCTTCCATGAATATTTAGGGCTAGAGAGGGCTTTGCCTTTGATTGCTTTGCTTTGCCCTGGATATTTTTGGCCACCAGAAATCCTTCACTGGAAGCTGCTGTCCGATTATCTTCTCCTGCAGAGGAATTTGGGGATTTTCAAGGTTTTGATTGTTTTTTGAAGCCGCCACCGTCTCATCTTCGCCGGGCCAAGGTGGAAGGACCCCGTTTTTGTCCTCGGGCTTCTTCTGAACATGAATATGTGGACGCCTGCTTTTGAATTTTGAAGCTTTACGTCTTCTGTGGTTTCCTCCTGCAGGTTATTTTAAGCAAAATCCAGCCTTTGCTGCAGCCCTGTGGAAGGAGATCTAAATTTTCATGAAAAAAAGAAAAAAAAGGAAAGGAAAGGAAAAGCCAAGAGGGGATATCTGGCTGAATAAAGAAAATGATCCTTAAGTGAGTGATTTGAATGACCCACATCCGTAATTGGGCTTAATTTTGGGAAATAAGGCGAATTCCTAGAGGATGCATGCAAAAAAATCCCCGTGGAAATGGTTTTGGGCAGTTTTTAACAGCCTTTTTTTTTCCCACTAAGGTGCAAGCTTGCATCTGGGAAATGCATGTGCAGGGCACATTCCTCAGCCAGGGAATTAGCAGGATGCAATCAAATCTTAAGTGTGCAAAGGGAAAATGGAGAGGCTTCAGATAAGGTTCTGATTATAAATTATTCACAATTAATTGCTCCCAGTAAAGAAAAAAATTAATCCCCTAACCATTCTCCCTAAGACGCTCAAGGAAATCAAAAACTTGAACAATCGCTGTCCGGCGAGAAGAACTTGGCACATTTTGGAGCATCCGGAGCCGCGTTGCACTTCAAAAGCTTCTCAATTTGCCCTCCACAAAAACATCCCGATTCGTTCTTTTGGGAACTTCTGCTGGGCCAGGGGCTGTATTGCAAAAAAAAAAATGCAAGTATTTTCACGTTGCTTTGAAGAAGCCTCTTTGATGTGCTCCTTTGCTGGTTTGTTTTGGGAGGTGCTTTAATGGGCTCTCTCTCTCCATAAAAATAACACTTAAAAATGCACGTAGGTAGCTCAGCTCTCCACTTAAAAAAAGAACCAGGTTGCTTAATGCTGCCGTTCAAGGTACATTAACCTTGCCTACTAAAGCTCTGCCTGGCTCTTGCGGGTTTTATTCTCCCATTTATGTTGCAGAGATGTCCCCGGAGCGTTTTAGGCGGCGACGGCGATGGGTAGCGTTGGCGAGGAGGGAATTAGTTCGCAGTAATTGTTGTTCTCGTCAGATACGCGCCGTAGGAGCTCCCCCTCTGCGGCACCTACGCGTCTTTATGGAGCTGGAGGAGGCGGATCGGGAGCGTGGACTACATTTTTCTCCTTTTTTGGGGGGAAATGCTCAATAACTCAATGCCAGGGATGGTACCGTGCTCCAGCTATGGGCTGCCGTTGAGTTAATTGGCACCCAGGCTGAGCACGAAGGACGTTTCCATCATGGAAATGCTCCCGTGGGTTGTGTAGAGGCAACTCATCTGCCGTGGATTGCTAAAAAACCAGAAATGTTGGCTGGCCTGGTGGTGCTTCTGGTGCTAGTGCTTCTGATGGCCCCTGATGAACATCCCTGCAAGGGCATGTGGTTCCTCAAGGAAGCACACGTGCAAGGACCACCATAAAGTGGGTAACATCTCGAAAACCAGGATTCTTCCTCATTGTGGGCGATTTATTCGCGTCAGTCGTGCTTTTAGGCAGGAATTTAGGGTCATGGTAGAGGCTAACTTGCCAAAAAATGGTGTTTTTCTCCTTGTTGAAGCTTTCGCTTAAGTTGGGTTTGAGTTGAGTTGAGAGGTTGAGTGAAGGGGTTGAGTTTGCAGAAAAACAGGCCACACTGGAGGTTAGTGGAGCACAAAATGCCACCAGATGACCCCAGAGAGCTGGGGAAGAGGCCAGAAAGCGCAAGACAGGGGGCAGTTTTTTGGGAAAGTCTCCAAAACTCGGAAGTTTTCCAAGGCCCTGAGCCTGGCTTATACCCGGTGCCGCTGGGAATGGTTCGCGACGTTAGGCGAGCCTCGGTTACCGCAGAATGTGGTGCTCCTTGGAGGCAAATAAACCCTTCCTGGGGATTTTAAATCCCTTTTTCTCCGAGAACTGGGTGCTTTTACTAAATGCAGCGTTCTGCTTGAAGCGTTGGAAATGAGTTCCAACGGAGAAGTAAACCAGCCGGCGCCAAGTGGACGACGTCTCGCCCCGAATGGGCCTTCTTGATGGCTTCCAAGAACCTTGAGGACCACGTGGAGGCTCTTGTTGACTGCCTTGCAGAGAAGCAGCCAAAATTCGCTTCGCTGATAGCATGGGAATCCCTCTTGCCTCGTTCCAGCTCCTCTTGTTGCTCCTCACGTCAACCTCAAAGCCGCGAGCTCTTCCAGTTGGGTTGACGCTCAACTGCGGCAGAGCTCCGTGCTGTGCCTGTGGACTCCGTGCCTCCCTTTTCCTTGGACAAATGTGTCCCGTTTGCAAGATGAGCTGAATGTGAAGACTTTTTCCCCCTCCTTTGCACACCAGGAGGGCTCCACAAGGCAGAAGGGGCTTCTTCCATTGCCTAAAAGCAACGAAAAAGGCTTCACGTGGCCTTTTGCCTTGGTGGCATCACCCCAAAGAGGGTTTATTGATGAAAGCCCGTAACCTCTGTGGCGTTTTCTCCACCAGCAACGAGAAAACGGGGGGGTGAACTGCACGTGGCCCCATTTCAGCCCATAAAAATCCCACGTTCGAGCGCGAGATGGTCGCTCCAGCTTCACTTTATGGTCAGCAGAGAGACATTGTCCCCCGCAGAGGGTGAATCTGTCTTCGCCTTGCGTTTCCACGTGAGATATATGGTCCTCTGGAGGTGCCTGTGCCTTTCTGGCAGCGATATTTCTTCATTTGCACTGCGATATATTCCCGTAATGAATGCATATATCATAAAATCCAGCATACACAAACCCCGTTGTCCTGCTGCGAGGAGCGTACCGTAAAAAACTTGAAGCATAACTCAACGGCTGCCATTGGAAACACTGCCCATCCTGCCTTTATTTTGCTTAAAAAAGGGGGAAAAATGCTTTTTATAGGCCAAAATATCTTCTAATATCTAGGAAATGTTTCTGAATACAGAATATACAGAACCATCTCACAGGGATGGGCCTCAAGGCTTCCCTCTCCGAAGGAGAAACCAAACATCTGTAATAAACCTGCAATTTGGGGCAAGTAGGGGAAAAAATGCTCAAAACTTGGCTCCTATAACTTCCCCCGTTGGATCTTCCCTTGTCAGATGCCTTTGGGAAGCTGCTGATGGAGCTAGGAGAGGTTTCCTAGGATTCCCGAGCACTTGTTTTCCAGCAATTCAGCAAAAATGGGTCTTGCAAAGCCGCTGCCAACGTTATCAGGCGTATATGATAACGCGTACCCCAACAATATATTTTCCTTTTGTGCTCAGTGATATTTCTAATGTGATTTTATAGCTCTTTGGATAAGCAGGCAGGTCACAGAGTATTTGCTTTTCACCTTTCAATGGCAGGCGACCATCAGAAATACTTGAGAGTCTTTAAATGTTCTGCGACACCAGTGACTGCACTGAAAAAAAAGACAATTTCTCCACTCCAGTCTTTAATTATTTTTATTTGAAAGAGGAGGTGATATATTGCTGGCAAAAAAAGCAGCAGATAAATCTACCCTCCCCTAAAGAGCTTGAGTTTAGGTAGACTCAAGCTCTTCGGGAGACACATTTCCAACTTAACGGCACTATTGCAGCGGTGGCTGAAATCGTTTGATTTCCGAAGGAAATTTAGGACATTTTGCTCTTCAGTTGCTGCCAAAAATCTAAAGTGCTGCCGTTTCCGGAAACGAGAGAGCCTTTGTCAAAGGTTGTTTGGCTTCGTTGCTCGTTTTTTCTTGGGGAGAGGCCTTGAGGATCCCAATTTTTTGCTCTTGGCCCCAAATTCCACCCTTTGGTTGGTGTGGGATTGCTTCATTATCTCACTGCTCTTCCATTCATGCTTCGGACGAGTCAATCTGATAGATGATAAATCAGATAGAGTCAATCAGAGTATAAACTGATGTCGGGGGGGAAAGTACATATTATTACATAAAAATATTACCTAAAATGCCAGTAAATCTCTGCAGTTCTTTTGCTGTGTCCCTTCCCTGTTGGGTTGGACGGCCTGCCTTGAAGATACCCAAAGAAGAGCTCTCATCAAAATAGCTATATTTTTTGCAAGAGGGGTTGGGGCATCTCCAAGCACCTCTTGAAGTCCATGATGAGGTGAGTAGAGGTAGATACTCAACGTAGATCCAAGTCATTGGCACTGGAGCTCAGGGCCACCAGCTTCATCGATTGCAACCATCATTTCCAAGAGCTCTGCCCATGTCTCTCCTCTGTGCAGGCAATGCCTCCTTGAAGGCCATCATCTTCTCTTCACCTCTTACCCTCTGTTTCTCCCAAATCCCTCAAGTAATCATTAAATAATGATCATGGGCAACAAATAATCCAAGGTTTCTTCAGGAGACATTATTCTTGGAGGGTCTTGAGTATCTCTGTGGGTCTTGCGTGGTCTTGTGTTGTCCATATAAGTCTCCAGGGTTAATTCTGGGACAATTTGGGATGGATCCATCTACCTGTTTGTGTTCATTTTTGACCATCTTCTCCCATGGGCTGGGAGAGTGGTAGATTGGATTGATTTCTGTGCCCCTCATCCCGCTTGTGGCTGGACGTTGCTCCCCTAGATAGGGTTGAATTTTGGAAACCTATCTGGGCTCCCAAGCTGGAACTCCAGAATTCAATAAAAAGAGTGAAAAGCGACCATTAAAAAAAGAAAGAAGAGGGAAAAGGCAACAAAACCATCTAACTCTGCTGCTTTTCTGCTCTCAGCTTCTCGATGTGACGCCCGCCCAGGATGCACCATGTCTCCCCGGCGCCGGCTCTGACCATGATGGCCACCCAGAGTGTGCCCCCTCCTCCGTACCAGGACACCCCACAGGTCACTGTCCCGGGGCACCACCCATGGGACCCCCCAAAACCACCCCCTTATTCCCTTTTTTCCCATATATGCATCCCCCAGCCACCCCAACCTCCTGCTGTTCTGCAGTAAAACACCCTTTCCGGATAAAAATGTACCACGGGAAATGCCCCTCAGACTCAATCTACCCATATGGTGCCAAAATTTGGGAATAAAACCCTTTCCAGGCTCAAAATGCACCGAGGGACATGCCGATATTTGCAATAAATTGCCTTTCCAGGCTCAAAATGCACCGAGGGAGACGCCTGCAAGATCCGCTCTCCCAAAACGATGCCCGTATTTTGCAATAAATTGCTTTTCCAAGCTAAAAATGCACCGAGGGAAATGCCCGGCACATCTTGCCTTCTCCCTGCAGTGCTGATATTTTGCAATAAAATGCTTTTTCCAGGGAAAAATGCACCGAGGGAAATGCTAGGTCTCATTGCAACGTACCAATATTTTGCAAGAAAATCCCTTTCCTGGATTACTTCTTGCTGAAAGGGTTGAGCCCTGATTTCGGTTGGATTTTGGGCATGTTCCTGCCTTTTTTTGGTGCAAACCCACTTCAGGTTTCCAAAGGCATCTGCAGGAAGCCTGTCCGTGGTGTCCCAAAAAAACCAAATAACCATTTTGGGTTCCGAACCCGAAATTTTGGGCACGCTGCTCTTGCCTGTGCTGGTGGGAAGATGTCGCTGTGCAAAAATCTGCTCTTCTCCACCCAAAAAACCATCTTTTCTGTTTCGAAACCCTCCGGGGAGAAACGCAAGAGCCTCGAGAAAAAAGAAAAGACAAAAAGAAATGAACAGAGATATTAAAAAAGGCAGCTGGAGAAATGCTGAAGCTTAGATATTAAAAATATTTCAGAATATAGGAAAAATTAAAGAAGCTTAATGCTTCCCTTCACAGCCTGCTCGAGGGCGAGCAAAATTTTCCCCCCATGCCAAGGGGTAAATGGGGATTTTCCCCCAAATTTTGCCAAATGCCGCTGTATTTCGATTAAAAACCACGAGCTTTGCAAGTTTTGCTGCTGGTTTTAATGTAAGTTGATTTGTTTTTTGGCTTTTTTCCCCCCGCAGATGACGGCGACGGCGCAGGCGCCGGCCAAGGCGCAGGCCGTGCACGTCGCGGCACCCGCGGGCGGCAGCGCCCCGGTGCCCGGCGCCGCCACCGATCCCCAAACCCAGCTGGAAGCCGACAAACGGGCCGTCTACAGGTGACATCATGGCAAAAAAACCACCGAATTTCATCTCTTTTGCTTATTCTGCAGTCTCTTCATTGCCTCTTGCTCCTTAGGAGCACCCAGGGTGCAAAAAAGATGCTGGAAACCCATGGGATGCATCACCCATGTGCGTCCCCCATGGGCAGAGAGACCCTCTACCAAGGTTGTATGGGCACAAATCAACCCCTTTCCACCCTAAATAACCCCAAAAACTCCCATATTACCCCCAAAACCATTGCTGTCAGGTTGCAGAAGGTGTCAAGACTGATTTTGCAGCCAGAACTGAGAACATCTATTTGGGGCAAAAAAGAAAACCACTCAAATGGGGGAAGGTGAAAACCAAAATTGTCGTTTTTTTGAGATGGTCCAACTCCAAATTTCCACCGATTGGGCAAAAGACCCAACCTGTCAGCAAAGGTGGGGAACAAATCCAGCCGGGAAATGCTGGATTTTTCAGGAACACACCTTGCAAATGGATGCACAAGGGGACGTTCCCCAAAGGCATAGAAACAATTCTCTGGAAACACAGCAAAACAGAAAGGAAAAAAAACTTCTTTGCCCTGTGCCAGGTTGCAACCTAGTGGATTTTTTTGCAAACTGCATTTTTTTGGGGTCAAATATGCCATTTTTTGCCTTTTTTTGGAATATTGCGTTAATTGCAAATACCACATTTTTGGCAAAGTGCTTTTTTTTGCACATTGTGTTTTTTTTTCTCCAAATAACACGCTCTTTTTCCAAATCTTTCATGCTCCTTGGTTTGCCAACTGCATTTGCTGCAGGCTGCATTTGTTGTAACCTGCTCTTCTTGCACTGCTCATAAGAGGTTAAACCCAGGATGGTTTTAACATGGGGCTGCCTTTAACTGCTGATTTCCCTGGGGCAACTTCAGCACCCCCCGAATCCACAAGAATGCAAAGTCCTTATCCCTTTGCATGCTTTTTTTTGCCTTAAAAACCCCACAAATCGGGGCCGGGCAGCGCGGTCGCCCCCGCCGCTGCCGGCCTCGCGAGCCGCTGCTGAATGTGCAAAATTAGCCCATTAGAGGAATTCATTTCTCTTTATTAGCCCGTGTCAAATCCTTTTTATTAGTGGCTGCCAACGACCTCTCTCCTGCAGCAAAATGTCAGGCTGCTTCAGCCCTTTTATTTGTTCGGCGCCGGCGAGGAGCAAACTCGCCCTGGCTCCGAGATTTATTTCCTCTGGCTTTGTAAAACCCACCTGTAGCCCTACCCTCCTTTGCCAATCCTGCAAAAAATCCCCTTTTCCAGCAAATTGGGAATAGTTTTTTTTTTTTAAATAAATAAATTCGGCCGCAGATCTGGGTTTTAATGCTCCTTGACATTGCCTCTGGATCCTCCCTCTTTTCCCTTAGCCTCTCTGCCCATCTGCCTCATTTTGCACCTCTTTTTCCCCCAAACAAGCCCAAATCTCCCCAATTTCCCCCCCAAATCTCCCCAATTTCCCCCCAAATCTCCCCATTTTCCCCCCAAACCTCTCCTATTGCCTCCCAGCACCTCAACCTCCCCGTCCTCCTCACCACATCTTCTCCCACACTGGCCAGCTCCGCACGCTGCAATATTTCCTAACCCTGCCTGGAATTTGCCTTTCATATCCCTCAGCTAAGCCACTGCCTAAATTACCCTCGCGGAGGCTTTTCCTTTATTTTTTATATTTTTCCCCATTTTTTTTTCTCCTCCCCCTCCCTCTGTTTTCTGCTCCGACCTCCTCGAAATCTTGCATTAAACTGGGATCAGGCGAGATTAGGCTCTAAGATGCTGCAATATTAGCGGCTGCAAATGAAGATTTAGGCAAAGGTTTAACCCCTTCGGCAGTCTCCAGCTTGGCCTGGTTAGTCCAAGAGGTTCCAAGTGGCTGAGAAACAGCAACGAGAGCCCCAAGTGCCCAGAGCAGAAGGAGTTGGGATAAAACAGCAATGCTGACACATTGGGCAGGCCCAATTATGTGATTTAAATCCTCATTTTTACCTGTCTGGAGGGTCCTTTTCCTCCTCTTTTGCTCCCAAGTGTCGTTTTGCCAACTGAGCCCAAAATAGGACTTTTTGGGCAACTCACTTTTGGGCTTTGCCAGGGGGATGGAGGAAAAAGAAACAGATTGCGGGGTTTCCATGAGGAATTCTCCTGCCCCCCAATATTCCAAGGGTTGACTCCATTGCCCCCCTTGCTCCCTGTTGCCATCGGTGCCGGGAATAAGCCACGAAGTTGCTTTCTGGATGCACACCCTCATCCCGGGACATCTGGAGTGGCTTCGCCTGAAGTGGAGAAGATGCAGAACCATGGAAAAGGGGTGGAAAAAAGTCCTCAGGGAGAGACTGGAGGAGATCCCCACCCTTGCCTGGGCCAAAATGGTGTTTCTTTGCATAATTATGTTGGTTTTTAACAAGAAGGTTGTCCCGTGTCACTGACAGCCCCGTGTCTCCTCGGCAGGCACCCGCTCTTCCCGCTGCTGACGTTGCTCTTTGAGAAGTGCGAGCAGGCGACGCAGGGCTCCGAGTGCATCACCTCGGCCAGCTTCGACGTCGACATCGAGAACTTCGTCCACCAGCAGGAGCAGGAGCACAAACCCTTCTTCAGCGATGACCCGGAGCTGGACAACTTGGTAAACGTGGGATGAAGGTGGCCGGATGGGCTTTGTGTGTGCGTTTTGTGGGGGGACAAGTGGATGGAGAAAGAATTAGGGGGGGACCCCCCTTGGACAACATCTTGGATTAACCTCCGACTGGTTAAAAGCCTCTACATACCCCAAATTTATAGCACTGGCCTCCTTGGAGCTGTTCTCAGTAGATCTTCTTACACCTTCTCCAGCACTTCCATACAAAAGCCCAGCAGAAATGGACCTGAGCCTATTTGTAGGGTAGTTTCCTTTGCAAATCCATGGGGTCAAAGCATTGTGGGGGGTTTGCACCCCCAAACTTAGAGGAATTAGCTCTGGTCTTCAGTGCAGTGTAAAGCATTGCGTGGTTAGGTTGGTTGCATTCATTGGGTTGGTTGGGTTGGTTGGGTTGTGCTGGTTGTTTGGATTGGGTTGGTTGGTTGAGTTGTCTTGAGCTGAGTTGCTTGGGTTGTTCATCAGCTCAGCTCACCTGCAGTACTGCAGAACACGGGTGCTTGTCCTCAAGAAACAGGGTCAGATGAGACCTTTCATATCAATGGACTATCGTGGCCAACCATCTGACGTCCTCTGTCACCTCAGTTCAACCTCCGGGTGCTCTGTGAGTGTATTTTAAGTTCCATGAGGTCTTGAAACTCTTCCATGTCTTAATGGCCAGTGCCAAATCCCAAGCTGAAGCCATCTTGAAACTCCTGCAGCTCTTACGGCCCATTTCAACTCATGGATTTGGCAAGATCTTGAGTGGGCGACCAGCTTGGGGTCACCACCAGTTTTTGGGCCACACACTAAGCCCCCAATGTCCAAATTACAGAGTATTGAAAACCTCATCTGTAAAATACCAAAGATACCAACATCAAAATACCAATAGACAAAACCAGAAGACGCCCTGGGATGATGTGAAGGTGTCACAAGCCTCCTGAAGGCCACGTTGATGTTATGGGCCTAAAATGGATCAATAAGGAAGAGGAATTATTTATGGGAGCTGCTCGGAAGATGCTTGCACCAAGAGCCTGGAATATTTATTACCTTGTGTACCTAAAAGTTGGCCTGAATGTTGTATGACGTTACAGTAAAGAGCTTGGAGGGAGGCCCAAGCCGTGGGGAGCAGGAAAAGCCCTGCCCAGCCAAGCTGAGGACAACCTGATATATGAAAAAGCAACATGTTTTGGGGGAAATGAGTACGTTTTGGGACTGAAAACACATCAACCATTGAGCAAAAATTTAAAAAAAGGGAAACAAAACCCTGTGGTGCTACATGAGAAGATGGTCCAACAGTGTGGGAATGATGGAGGGATGCTGGAGGTGACCAGAAATCTAAACATCTGGGGCGAAGAAGCTGTTTCCATTTATAGCAGAGTATCCAGGATGGTTTGACTCTTTTCTGGTGGTTTCTCCTCAAAAGAAACCCCATGTATTTGTGTTTTCTGGCCCCAAAACGCTCTGTTTGGGAGCAGCTCTCTGCTTAACGCCGAGGCTAAATCCACCCATGCAGGGTTGCACGCAGAGGACCTAAAAAGTGGCAAATCCAACCCGAAACGGCCCTGATTCAACATTTCCACCTGTTTGAGAGCCAAAATTGGTGCTTTCCACCCCTTTTTAATCCATACCCTCCTGCAAAACCCCAGGCAGGGGCTCCACGAAGGCCACCACCATCATCAGAGCCGTGCGTTCCTCGCCGCCGCGATGCACGTAATTAGGAATTAGCAAAAGGTCAGCTCTGCCCATTATCAACTCAATCAGGCGCCGAGTGCCACACAGTCAATTAATTCAGCATCTGTATTTTTTACGACCCCGCGCACGTCCTCCGCCCGCCTGTAACTCTTTATCCGGACAGATATACGGCGCAGCCGAGCGGGGCCATAAAATGAGACCCTAAGCAAATGAGCTGAGATAATTGGGAGATTTATTTGGGCGACGGCCAGGTGGCGGCTCCTCTTTGCCTTTGCCCTTGACGAGTGACTTTCATGGCCCACACCACTCCGGCCCGCCGCCGCGGAGGGAAAAAAGCAGCAAAACGAGGCCAAAAATGGGGGAAAAAATGGTATTTTCCCGCTTTCTCCCCAGCATTCGCAACCTCCTACGTGGGAAGCCTGGTTTCCCCCAGCTCTGCCTTTTTGGGGAGCCTTCAGCTCTCGCACTTTGTAACGAGGCCCACTAAAACCGGCGAATTTGCGTTTGCAAATTCGCCCTTTGAAACGCAAAGGCGTCTTGTTCCATAAAAAGCCGCTTTACTGCCCCGCGGCGGATAGCTGGGATTTTATATATTATGCAAGATTTCAAGCAGTGGCCGTAAAACTTACGGCTTCGACTCCATGCGGGGAATGGGTTCGGTGTAAATTTTTTTCACATTTATGCGGTGCGTTTTAACGGGGCCCGGGCTTCGCACCAGCAGCAGCTGACGGCGACGTGGCGGCCCAATAATCCCGTTATTTCCAAAAAAAGTGGCCTGCTGAGGATAAGAGAACACTTTTCCCCCCAGATCCTCGGATATTTTGGGGGCATTCCCCAGAAATGCAGGTAATTATTGTGATTTTTCGCCATGGAGAAATTCCGTCCAGGGAGGGCAAAAGGAATAGGATTTTTCTGCCTTGGGGTGGATTTGGGTGGATTTTTTGCTTGTTTTTGCAAGCTTAAAACCCAATAAAGCTTTTGGGGGAAGGCGTGAATGAATTAAGTAGGTGTTAATCAAGCCACAAGTGACGAGCCTGGTGTCTTTTGCCTCCTCTTTAGATGGTCAAGGCCATCCAGGTGCTGCGCATTCACCTCCTGGAGCTGGAGAAGGTGAACGAGTTGTGCAAGGACTTCTGCAACCGCTACATCACCTGCCTCAAAACCAAGATGCACAGTGACAACCTACTCAGGAACGACCTTGGTGGGCCCTACTCGCCCAGCCAGGCCTCCCTCAACCTCCACCCCCAGGTAAAACAGGCCTCCATCCTCTGGGAACATCCCAGGAGCTGGGAATTTGCTTGAAAAAATGCCCCAAAATGGATAATTCGCAAAAAAACCCCCACCTGCATCTTGCTCGTGTGATGCACTGGGGGTGGTTGGTGTGTGTTTGACATGGCTCTTGTTGGGGAGCTGGCAAAACACCACCCCTACGCTCATTCTTAGGCTGTTCTTCCATAAATTTAAGCCAAAAAATCCCATAAATCCAGGTTTATTTGCAGGTGGTTGAATGCCCCTTGGGAATTCAAGGAGCCCTGCGCAGGTTGGATGGGAACCGTGGGAATTTTGTGTGGGTTTCCTGCAAAAAAAACCTCATGAGAAAATGCAGAAATGCTGTGATTTCCTCTGCTGCTTTTGCCTTGAGTTTTGGGGGTTTTTGGGACAGTAGGGGCATGCTGTGATTTTTTTTTTTGGCCTAATGACTGAATTTTGGTCAATATCCAAATATGGGAGCATGTCGTGTTAATAAAGGGCCAATTTGTGTGATTAACGGGTGGCTCGTTTGGCACCTGGGATGTAGTGTGGAGAGAGCCAACCTGGTGGAGCCTCCAGTGTAAGTGCACAGGTAAGTGAAAAACACCACAAAAAGGATTAAAAAAAAAAGCAGCAAAATACCCCAGGCATTTTCAGATGGCTGAAAAAAATGCTGAAAAACAGGCAAAAATGGGCAAAGCAAATGGCCCCCAGAGGTGAGATCCCCAAATCCCTCCCTTGGGTTTCCCAAGGGGGTTTTGCAATGAAATGCTGCCAAAACTCCAGGTCAGCTGTGACTTTTTTGTGTGTTTCTTCCCCCAGAACAGACAGACTACCCCAGGTAGCGCCTGGTGGGATTTTTTCTGGGCTTTTTAAGGTGTTTTTTAGGCAAAAAGAGGTATTTTTGGCCGCTAGGGAGTGCAGAATTCCCCAGGCGCCTCTCGCCGCCGGAAGGAGACAAAAAAGCCGTAAAAATAAAGGGGAAAAAAAGGAAAAAAAGGAAAGTTTGGTTTTTTTTTTTGGATTTCCAGGAAAAATAAAAAAAAATTAATTGTTGATGTGAAAACCCCTTGATTTTGGGCTCGTCTTGAGAAGCGGCCGCCTGCTCCCTCCCTCCGCGGGCCGTTGCGAGGCGGTCCTTACGATCCAAATTAGCGCCACGGCGGCATGAAAGGGAACAATAATTGCCCGACGAGCCTCGCGTCGCTAATTTATTAGTTTCTATTATTGCGGGTCGCCTTGGCAACGGGCTCGCAGCGCCGGGCGATGAGAGAGATGTTAGATAGGAGCCCGCGGAGCTCCGACGCCCGGCGAATGGAGATGCCCGGTTTTATCAGTAATTTTCCTGAAAATAATAAGTGAGGAGTTAATGAGATGGAAAGCCGTCCTGTGGCTATTGTGAATTTTCTTTCTTCCCCCTCCTTTCCTGTATTTTTTTTTTTCCCCCCTCCTTTTCCCGTCCTTAAAGTGTTGATCTAATTAGAATGCATCGGTCGGGAAAAGTAATGAGGATTTAGCGGCTCACAAAGAGGAGGGGATCGTATCAGAAAATTAGCAGGAGCCTTTGGAAAAACATTGGCCCCGGGGAGCTTCCGATTTCACCGGCGCTGGTGCAAGCTGGGGAGGGAAAGGGGAGAAGCCGGAGGGAGCCCCGGCTGGGGCAAATTGGAGAAAATACGGAGATTTGGGATTTGCGGCCTCAAAACGAGCAGGATTGCGGCAAAAACGGGCAATGAGAGTTGGAAGATGACTAGTCAGCTCCAGCCATGGGGAGGACGTTTGGATGGTGAGAACGTTTCAGCGGTGAAAATAAGGGCAAACTTCCTAATATTTGCTGCTATGCCATGGCTAGCACTTCAAACCATTGGATATCCTTGAGTCTGGGTGAAAAAAAGCCTATGAAAAATGAGTTGAAATGCTCCTTATTCAATATTTCTTAAAAGCTGGGGATCTTCCAGAGATGCCATCGCGTGATTGGGATTTCAAAATGGCAAAGGGGATGACTTGGCTAATTCTCACCCTATTAATCTCCTGCTGAAGGGAAGTAAAAAGGCTGAACGGCTGCTAATTTAGGAATTAAAAAACACCTAAAGGCTGGAAAAGTGATTAATAGCCATCAACGAGGTCTCTGAGCAAGTAGGTTATTTTTAAGGGTAGTTATATTGCGTAGTATTGATCGGCCTGGGAGATGGCCTTTGGTTGAGGACGCAGGTTGTTTTAGGGCTTTGTGAAGTTCCTGAGAATCAAGCAACGTGCTTGGAAAAAATAGGCTATTTGATGACCCACTGTTAACCAAAACGGCGGCAAAAATTGGGGAAAAAAGGGCCAAAAGTGGCAAAAAGTCTTTGAGGGAGAATCGCCTTTGTGTTTCCTTGGGGCCTCCGAAAAAATAGGGGCTTCTTGGTGACCCAATGTCAACTGAAACGGCAGCAAAAGTTTGCCCAAAGTCCTTGAGGGAGGGTGGCTGTTGGGTTTCCTTGGGATCTCCCAAAACGTTGGGCTACTCCATGATCCAATGTCACCCGAAATGTTGGCAAAAACTTGTGAAAAGCCATCGTGGAAGAACCTCTGTTGGGTTTCCTTGGGGTCTCCAGAAAGGATGGCCCGTGACTCGACCATCATGCAATGACAGGGAGAAAAGTGTCCCTTCGGACACTTTGTAGCTCCCTTCCTTCATTGAATGAATATTTTCCTGCTTTTTCAGACAAAGGGGGAAGAATCAGAGGGATATTTTCCAAACCAATTTTCCTTGTTCTCGCGCTCATCTCTGGTCCCAGTTGTAGGCCTGGGATTTGCCTGATTTAATGCAGCGTTTTGGATCTCCACCTTGATTTATCCAAGTTTTGCCAAGTGTTTATTTCTGTGTTGCTTCAAGACAACATTTGACCTTTTCCACCCTTTTCTACCTACCCATCTTAGTCCTTTGGGTCATGCTCAAGCCTGGAGAGCTCCTCCTTGGTAGACACACATTTTCCCCCCAATATTTTAATGCACACTCAGACAAATTGCAGAAAGTTAGGAGGAGTTTTTGCACATCTACAGGCCCTCTAAAGATAAATGATTGTCTTAGAAAGACCCAGCAGAAGGAGGTTGACCCATGTTTGACGTGTTTGATCACTTGGTCAACAACGTGTCTTCTTGAAGGAGAAGAAATCACCTTCCTCCTCAAGCACCTTCTCATTTGGCCCAATGGCATTTTTGCTGTAGAGCTGTATAAGGTCCAAGCCCAGAGCCAGATCTTCACACACGTGTAGCGATATATGTTTTTTATCCAGCAGAACCCAAACATTTCAACTTTTTTTGAGATCCTAAGCTTAAAATAGGAAGCATTTTCCAGTGCAACAGGCTACCAAGTGGGGCATGAGTTGGCTGATCTTCATGACATTCAATTGTAAGACATTAATCCTATTTTTTATGGGGGTCTTTGCTTCATTGGGTTGTCTGGTTTTGCCTTGCTGGAAGACAAAACTGTGTCCTGTAGTGATGACATGGAAATGCCATAAATTTCTCCCATTTCCTTTGCTTCTAATTCCTAATGTTCTTTGTCTTCGTGCTGCCAAGACACTGTTTTGGGGCAGTTTTCCATTATGGCACCAAGATGTCACTCTTCATGGTGGTATCTCCTTGAGAAGCCATGGTGGCCAAGCTAAAGCTCCTGGAGATGGGAGCTTCTCCTTGAAGCACTGGGATCATCCCCTAAAACTTCCTTCCAAAACCATTATTCTGGGTGAATCTTTCCTAGGTGAATTCCTCTTTTTGGGGTGAATTGTGGAAAAAGATGAGGTGGGAGAGGAGGTCGACCCAAAGCTCTGGTTGCTCCCAGCCGCGTTTTGAAGCTTTTTGAGAAACATAACAATGGTTTTGAGAAACATAACATGGTTGAAGGTAAAATACGAGTATTTTCACCCTGTTCATCATGTGGCAGCTTGGAAACTTTGCAAAAGCTCCAGGGTTTTGGTTTCCTTAAGCCGAAGGTGCCTCCAAGAAATGCCAGAGCCAGTAAAAAGGATGTATATTAAGAAATATAAGGATGCAAAACACCAAAAAGGACCATTTTTTGCTGAGGAATGGAAAAGATCATCTCAAAAACCTTTTTTCTCCCCTAAACACTGTGCCTCCTTTTTCCAGAATCCTTCACTGTAAAATTAATGGCTTTGTGCACTCCAAAATTCCAATCTTTTATTTTATTCCCAGGGAAAAAGAGGAGCAATTGCTCCTTTTCTTTTTCCCCAATTGCTTTGATATTTTCCTGGATGTTCCTCCTGGAAATAACACGGGAAAAAAATCCTTCAAATCCTCCTTTCTTAACCCAAGAAACACGGTTTTCTCAAAGAAACACATTCAAGCGAATTTCAAATTGAATAAAAAGGTGAATGGGAGAGCAGGGGAGCTCCTTGGGTTGGGATTTGGGGGAAAAAAAACGGGCGGAAAAAGACGGAGGGGAGGGAGAAATCCTCATTTTATTACACGCAACGGTTTTATCTCCATCGCAGCTGGGCAAATTATGGAGCTATCGCTATCTCGGGCTGCTTCTGAAATGATAATTACATAAATATCGCTGGGAATAAAAAAAAAAAAAGAAGGAAAAAATCTGGCACATCTGGGATGCGATGCCCGGGTCCGTCTTCGCCCATCTCCTCCCACTCCGGCACCCTCCCGTTCCCAAAATTCCTGATTTTCGCATGAAATCCTCAAATGCCGGGGCAGCAAATCCTGCTTTTTGGGGGGCAAATCCCTCTTTAAGGGCACCAGGAATGACAAAATCTGGGATGAATATTGCCAGGGGGGCCCTGCTTGCTGCCAGGTGCCCATATAAGCGAAGAGCAGCAAATTCCTACTGCTAGCAGCCCAATTTTATTACTTTTCATTTGATTTTTTTTTGCTGTTTATGTCCTTTTTTTCCCAATAATTCTAGTAACAAACAGGGAAAATTGAGATGTATCCACAAGGAGCATTTATATTTTAGGAAAACACCCTTTTCTCGCTCTTTTTCCTTAAGAGTGGGCGGTCAAAAGGGAAGTTGGGAAGACAAAACCTGGCCCTTATATATATATATATAAAAATATATATATATATAAAAAATATATATATATATAAAATATATATATATATAAAAATATATATATATATAAAATATATATATATAAAAATATATATATAAAAAAATATAAAATATATATATATATATATATATATATATATATATATATATATAAAATGTATATTTTTTATTTTTCCCGCAGGAGATGCTGCAGAGCTCGCCCGCGGCGCTGCCGGCCGCCTCCAACCCTCCGCCGGGCATCGTGGTGCCCGCGGCCGCCCTCCCGCCAGGCAACCTTGCCATGAGCGCCGGGAGCTCCCCGTCCGTGCCAGGTAATTTGAGGAACAAACAGAGAAATCCCAAAACGGGGCGTTTTGTCCCCGTTTCCCCTCCACCGGCGCCTTTTCCCGCAGGCGGAGCCCTGTACCAGCCCGTGACGATGGTGACGTCGCAGGGCCAGGTCCTCGCCCAAGCCCTCGCCCCCGGCGCCCTGCAGATCCCCAACGCCCAGGTAAGGCTCAAATTTCCCTTTTCCGGGGATTTTTTCCCCTTTTTGAGGCCGCAGCAATAGCGGTGGCTTCTAAAGCAGCAATCTGCTGTGGCCTTGCCCAATTTAGGGCAAAAATTAATTAAAAGAGCACAAATTCCTGCGCTGGGGCCACAGCAAGCGCCATAATAACCAATTTATCAATAAACGAAAACCTCAGGTGGTCGCAGATTTTTAATTAGCAAGGAAGACTAATTAACTCCATCTGCAAAGCTCGCTTTGGGGTCATTCCCCACTCTTTGGCCCACGGAGCACACCGATTTTTGCATACGGATTGGGCGGAAACAGGATGATGGATCACTTTAGGCGGTGGAAAACCAGCCATGCCCAAATAATCCGATGGGATCGAGCAATAAATAAATATATCCGGACCGTTGCTGAGAGACATAAATTGCAAGGATGGATGAGGCAGAATTCCTGAATTTTCCCAAATCCACATGGAAGCGTGGGCGGTTCATGCCGTAGGAACCCCTGGAGTGAAAAGCCCAGATCTGCAAGGGATTCATGGATCTGCAAGTGGTTTGGGAAGTCATCTCTGGGAGATTTTCCCCCTTTTTTTTCCCCTATTTCTTTTGGGAATGAAAGGGTTTTCCTCCGTAGCTGCGTGTCCGGACCCATGCCATGGTTTGGTCTGGCCTTGATGCTACCATTGCCCAAAGATGCAGCAATTGCCCCCAAATCAGAAATCTCCAAGTGGGTAAATGGGGAAAGAGGAGGAGTTGAACGCAGATTTGGGGGAAAATCTAGCCAAACTCCTGCTTTTTGCCCCATTTTGGCCACGCCTCAGGTGTCCATCTCGCCAGCAGGTCAACCTGGATCTCACCTCGCTCCTCGACGGCGAGGACAAGAAGTCCAAGAACAAGCGGGGCGTCCTGCCCAAACATGCCACCAACATCATGCGCTCGTGGCTCTTCCAGCATCTCATGGTGAGGACCATGGGTTTTGAGCAGAGAACTGGGCAAAAACATGAAAAAAAAAGGTCTCTTTCCTCAAAAAATTGGGTAAAAATAGCTCAGAAACCAATTACTTGCACCGGGGTGGCTGTGATAAGATCAGTGCGGCATCGGTGGGTTTGGCAGCGAGCCGGGAACCTCAGAGGAACCAGCTGGAAGTTGGTTTTTTTTTTTTAAGAGAAACTTCAGTTGGGTTTGAGCTGCTGGAAAGCTTTGGCCCTGCTGCTTTGGTGTGAAACAGATGGAAAAATAGGTGAAAAGCAGCAGTTTTGGGGTCAGTTGCAAAGAGTTTGCGAGTTTTGCCGGTACTCAGTCTAACCTTGTGACCTTCTCAGAATGAAAATTAACAACCTGAAGGGTCAACATGGGGAAAACCGTGGCTTGGAGGTTGTCCTGAGGATGTCCCATCATTTTATATGGAATATTTTGGCTTAACCAAACCTGGGACCGAGGAGGCACCAGTGTTGGTGGCCAACTCCTGATGGACTCATCCATGTCTCATGCCATGCTGGTGTTTTGGAGATCCTGTTGAGTTTTGCTGTTATGGAAGAGGACTTGGAAGATCCAAAGCAGGTTCCCCATCATGTAAGATGGGAAAGTGAGGCAAAAACTCGTCTTCCACCAGCAGAGACGTGGCCTTGGGATGGACTCCCATTAGTTCTTACTGCTAGGACCTGCTTGGGCTTCCAGCTAGGATATCTGCAGCCTAAATTACTTCATGGTCCTGCCAGAAATGTGTCTTGGGCTGAATATTTTCTCGAATCTCTTTCATGTGAGAGGGGCTACGCACTCCTGGAAGGGTGAGGAGCATTGGGTTGGGGCGCCAGAAAACACCACATGAAATTTGGGGTTCAAAAAGGAGGAATTTGGGGCTCAAAAAGGAGGATTTTAGCACAGCACAGGGGGGGTTTTGTTCAAGCAGGATTAGAAAATGATGGGAAAAAGCGCTGAGACGAGTGAAGAACTTTCCATTACTTCAAGAGTAGGGTGCCAGGGAAACGGTGGGATGCTTGGCCACCGATCAAGCCTCGAGGCTCACAAATGGGCAAAATTCCTGGAGTCCGGGGCGGGGATGGAAAACAAAACAACCCCCGTTTTTCCATTTCTGGAGCTGCCCTTTCTCCCTGGCGGGGTGTAACGTTGCCGTCTCCCTCCCCGCAGCACCCATACCCCACGGAGGACGAGAAGCGGCAGATCGCGGCCCAAACCAACCTGACGCTCTTGCAGGTCAACAACTGGTGAGTTCTGCGGGGGGGCCTCTCCTCTTCCCAGCTTGGAACATGAGGGCTCCATGAGGTCTCCTCTATGTCCCGATCCACCTCTTCCCCATAAGTCTCTTCCAAGGAGATGCTTCAAACCACCCTCGAGATCTTGGATGTTGGACATGGCACTGCCTTGCACCAGAGCAACCTCTTGGCCCCGTTGCACAGCCAAAAACGTGGCCTTAAAATCGCTTAAACTTAAAATATGAGGCAATTTTTTGCTATTTATTTAGTCGCTGCATAAGGCGGTGTGGGATACAGCTCAGCCTTACTTAAGCCGAGTTGTCCACGTTCATCCGCGATGACTTAGTGCCCTCTCCTGGTCAACCCGAGATGTGGCTGGCGTTTTCCTGCTGTGATTAATAGCTGGAAAAACGCGGGTGATGATGGAACAAACCACAAACACATGAAGCAGGGTGAAAAAATAACACTTTGGGGGCCCTCCAGTCACTTCTCCAGAGAGTTTTATATTTGGATTTATTACATTTTCAAGGCCATGTTGAATTATTGGAGTGTTTTTGGCTCTTGTGGCTAATTCCCTGCCCTCTCCCGCCCGGAAAGGTTCATCAACGCCCGGAGACGGATCCTGCAGCCCATGCTTGACGCCAGCAACCCGGACCCAGCCCCCAAAGCCAAGAAAATCAAGTCTCAGCACCGACCCACGCAGCGGTTCTGGCCCAACTCCATCGCCGCCGGCGTCCTGCAGCAGCAGGGGGGCAACTCGGGGACGAATCCCGATGGTAAGGATGGCCTGGGGCCACCACATGTGGAATTATGGCCAATGTTCATAGTTGAGGGTATCTAGAGCCCTGGATCAGAGCCGGTAAGGGGTCTTCATGGGAAGGGTCTTCCACTTGATTGTCACACACGCTTGGCCAATGGGGACCCTTGCGCATCCTTGTCATGGCCCCGCTGCTGTCACCTCCACCTGGGAATGTCCCTCTTTTCCTAAGGGATCTCCCCAGCGTTGGACGTCATCTTGGGGACCTCCCTAGGGGCTTGGGGTGAGGGGAGATAGAGCAGGAGAGGAGAACAGAGAAGAAGGGAGAAGATGAGAGATGAGGAGAGACGAGATGGGAAGATGAAAGGATAAAGAGGAGACTAGAAGATGAATAGAAGATGAAGAGATGAGACACAAGGGATGAAGAGAAGATGGAGAGGTGAGGAGGGGAGTAGACAAGGGAGAGATGAAGTGAGATGAAGAGGAGAGTTCAGGAGGCAACTTCTGGAGCTACAGGAGATACCAAGAGACTAGAGGAGATGGAGAGGAGGCGAGATAAGAGGAGCTGCAAGAGGAAGATGAGAGATGGAAGGAAGATGAAAGAGAAGATGATGAAGGAAGAGATGAGGTTAGACAAAACAAGAGATCAAGAGGCAACCAGGAAGAACCAGGGCTCCTTGCTTGGGGTCACGCAGGCGTGAGGGTGGCAAATGTGCGTTTTCCTCCCCATTTTTATGAGCACCGGGGTGTTGTTTTAATTTCGGGGGCGTTTCTTCGTTCCCCGCAGGCTCCCTGGGCCTGGACAACCTGCAGCCGCTCTCCTCGGCCACGGCCACCATGGCCATGCAGCAGGCCATGCTGGCGGCCCACGACGACTCCCTCGACGGCACCGAGGAGGACGACGAGGACGAGGAGGACGACGACGACATGGAGGAGGACGAGGACGAGGAGGAGGAGCTGGAGGAAGAGCCCGGCGGCGCCCTCGGCTTGGACCACAGTGACTCGCTGGAGTAGCGAGGCGCCCTCCTCCCGCCCAAACCCGCCGGGAAGCGCCACGGGAAGACCATTTTGGGGGAAAAAACGAAGAAAAAGGCTCATTTCACCCCCTCAACGACTGGGGACAAGAGGATGGCGCCGGGCTCTGCTTGGAAGCAGCGGCTTAGTTAAGTGCAGGACCCATTCCCAAGGCACATATTGTGGCCGTTTTTCGGGAAGGTTTTCCCCGTTTTCCCGTTTTCCCAATCGGAAGCCCGGCCGTCGGGGGGGCCACGTCGCACGGTGCCACTCTCTCCCTTGGATTGCCCGCTGCAGGGAGACGGACGCCCCCTTTTCCGGCTCTTTTCCCCCCAAAAAAGACATTGGACGGGAGGAAAAAGGAAAAAAACACCCGGAGCGCAAAAGGGATTTTTGCTGATTTTTTTTTTCTGCCAATTCCCCCCCAAAAACACTTGGAGACTCCATGTGTGTCCTGCTGCAAACGGCTGAACCCCCTTTCCCGCCGTCCTTTAATTTATATTAAGGTGAATCCGGGGGGAAATAAAAACACCCATTTAATAAGGGCTGCAGAATAGGGCATGAGAATTTTCCCCCTTCTTTTGGGTAAAAACGATGAAAAGAGAAGGAAAAAAGCCCAGCTTTTCACTCAAAACCCAACAGCGACCTGAAAATCCCCCGTGAAAACTCAAGGAGGGAATTCAAGTTGCCAAAAAAATGCCGCTTTCGCCCCAAAAGCGCTCCCTCCGGCTGCCAGGTGGGATGTGGACGGGAAAAGCCATTTTTTTCCCCCCTTTTTTCCCCAAAATGCTCCCCTTTTTTTCTCCAAAATGCTCCCCAAAAAAGTGTGTGTGGAGGGAGGCGAGTCTCTGCGAAAAACCGTAATTTGGGGGATTTTTTAATGCCCTCAAAAGGGGGAAATTCGCCTTAAAATGTGCGGCGCCAGGGAGGGAGCGGGGGTTCGTTTTCCCCTGCAGTTTCACCCTCCAAAATTGGGATTTCTTCGAAAATAAGGATTTTTGCAGCTGGAAGAATCACTGGTTTTGGTCCCTTTAGCCTTTTTTTGGCTCGTGGGTGGAGAAGACGTCGCTGCTGTGGGGAAAAAAAGGGGGTTTTTGGGGGGGACAGTGATGCAAAAATGGGCCGAAACGCCCCGTTTTCAGGTCCGGGGCTGGCGTGAATGTAACCTTGCAATTTCATAAAGATTTCGGTGTAATTTAGTAGTAAATCCCCGGGCGTTTATTATTATAAAGTGCTACGAGATGCTGCTTCGCCCCTGTATTTTATTGGGGGCTTCTGCAGGGGCGGCCCCGAAAGCAGGGGAATTGTCCCCAAAATGCGTGTCCCCCTTCCCTTGCACATCTGAGATGGTGTTTGCTGAAATGAAGTGAATTGCCCCCAAAATGGGGCCTCAAGACGCAGGGTTATACCCTAAAATGTGTCGTTCTCGCTGCATGGGTGATGCCGTGTGCCAAAAATGAGTGATTTCCACCCAAAATGAGCGGTGCGCCTGGAAAAAGGAGCGGCGGTTCTGCCAAAGTGAGGGGGTGTCCCCAAAATCTGTGAGGTTCTCCCCGAAATAAGGGATGTGGAGGGTCCCAAAATGTGTGGTTCTTCCCCCGAATGAGTGGTGTGACCCCAAAAATGATAGATGGGGGGTCAAAATATGCAGGATTCTCCCCCAAAATGTGATGGGCTGCAAGGATAACATGATTCTCACCCCAAAATGAGGATGGAGCCCCAAAACACAGGGCTCTTGCCCCAAACGGAATCACGCGACCCCAAAATGCAGGATTTGCTCCCAGAATGAGCGGTGAGGGTGCAAAAATGCTAAATTTCCCCCAAAATGAAAGGAGGTCAAAAAATTCATGATTCTCCCCCAAATGGAGCCTGAAATGCATGATTCTCCCCCTAAAAATGAGCGATAGGAGACAAAAATGCATGGTTCTTCCCTAAAATTATTGATGTCGTCCCAAAATGCTTGATTCTCTTCCCAAATGAGGGAAAAATGCTAAAATTCCTCCCCAAAATGAGTCATGAGCATGATTCTCCCCCCAAAATAAGCAAAACGGACCCCAAAAGCATGATCTTCTCCCCAAATGAGTGATGGGGTTCAAAAGTACATGGTTCTGCCCCAAAATGAGTGATGATGGAGCCCCAAAAATGGACAATTTTCCCCCAAAATGATGGGGTATTAAAAATGCCCCCTGAAACGAGAGACGAGGGCCCAAAATGAGCAAGTTTCCACAAAGAATGAGCACTGGGACCCCAAAATGCGTGATTTCCCCTTAAAATGATGGGGTGCAAAAGAAATGCACGGTTCTGCCCCCAAAAGGAGGCACATGGCCCCAAAATGCACGATTCTCTCCCCAAATGAGATGGAGCCCCAAAAAGCACAATTCCTGGCCCAAAATGAGCCGCGCTCCCCCAAAATGAGCAAGTGTTGGCCCCCCCAACATGAGCAAGAGTCCTAAATGATGCAAACCCTCAAAAAGGGCAATTTCCCCCCAAAAGCAGCAATTCTCCCCAAAATGAGCACCGCCACTGCCAAAACTTGCAGTTCCCCCCCAAAATGACAGCTGCAACCCCAGAAAGGGGCATTTTCTCCCCCAAAAATGCACGAGCCCCTAAAAAGCAGCCTGAGGAAGACACAAGCTGCAAAAAAACGGTGCAATTTCTCCCTATTTCGGAAATTTTGGGGATATTTCCCTTTTCCTTTTGCATTTGTGGCTCTTTTTTTCTCGCAGCGCTGCAACCGCGAGCGGAGGATGAGGCGGGAGCTGGGGGCGGGTGTTAATTAATGAAACCAATTAATTTATTTCTCCTTTCCCGGCAGTGCAAGGTGGGGGGGCGAGGAAGAGGAGGGAGAGGAAGGGGACGTCGGGCAGGGACCCGTTTTCCTCGGATTTGGCCCCGTTTTCGGTGGCGCCGCGTCAGGTTGGGCAGAGAACTGCAAGAGAGAGAGGGTCACAAGGGACAAGAGGGGACAAAGGGAGGATCCAGTGCAGGGAGGATCCAGCTGGGATGTGAGGAAGGGGCAGGAATGATGCGCGGGGAATGCACGAGCATGCAAAGGCCCCAAAAGTGCAGGAATGATGCAAAAAAAAATGCACGGGGAATGCATGAGCGTGCAAAAAAAAATGCAAGGAAAAATGCATGCACGAGCATGTAAAAATGATGCACAAGCGGGATGCAAAAGGGATGCTAGGGAAAATGCAAGGGGGATGCATGATTGGGCACGGGGTTTGCACGCAGCAGCGGTGAGGATGCACCGACGGTGCGAGAAGAACGCAGGGGTGATGCACGAGCGTGCAAAAACGATGCACGGGGTGGGTTGCATGAGGGAGCGATGCAGGAGCAATGCCCAGGGGATGCGTGAGGGTGCAAAGACGAGGGTGCAACGGGGTGCATGACAGATACAGCAATGGGGAGGCCCAAAATGTGCAGGAACCCCCCCCAAAGGAGGCCGCGGGGGGCTCCCAAGGACCCCCCCATGGTTACCTTTGAGGATGTAGTCGGTCAGCAGGGTGGGCACCTTCTCGTTGCCCTCCTTCATGGCGAAGAGGACTGGAAAGGGGGACGGGGGGCTATGAGTTGGGTTGCAATCCAGCCCCTGCCCCTTCCAAAACGCCCTTCCCTCCCCGGTTTTCCATGCAAAATGCGCTGCTTTGCCCCTTAAATCTGTGGCCGTGCCGCTGTTTGCAAAACTGCAGGGGTTGTCCCGAAAAAAAAGGGAGGTTTTTCTCCCCAAAACACTGTGCTGCAGCCATGCAGAGCGGTGCATCACGTTGCACCAAGTGAAGCTTGCTGCTGGGATGCAAAAGGGGTGGCTGCACCCCAAAGGGTGCTGCAAAGTGGGTGCTTCCTCCCCCAAAATAGCCACGCTGCAATGATGCAAAATGAGCGGTTTTGCTCTAAATTGGCCGTGCTGCAGTGATGCAAAATGGGAGATTGCACCCCAAAACTGGCTGTGCTGCAGTGATGCAAATCGGGAGATTGTACCCCAAAACTGGCCATGCTGCAGTGATGCAAAATGGGAGATTGCACCCCAAAACTGGCCATGCTGCAGTGATGCAAAACGGGAGATTGCACCCCAAAACTGGCCATGCTGCA